TTTTTTTTTTGTAATTTCAAATTTCTGTTTTTCGTTTTTCTGCACCCCACGCACAATTTTTTTTTTTTTTTAACTTTTACTTTTTTTTTGTAATTTCAAATTTCTGTTTTTTCGTTTTTCTGCACCACCCTCCCCCACCCCGAAAAAAAATATTTTTTTTTTTATATATTTTCAGTTTTAGTTTTTTCATCTTTCGGTTTACATGTTCGAAATTTTACAAGTTCCAAAGTTATGCATTCGGATGTTTATGTGTTTGGAAGTTTGCGCGTACCAAACACCGGATAATGAATAAGATTACTACTTGTTTTCCAAGAAAATATTTTCCGTTATACCAAACACACCCTTAAGGTCACCTTACTTCTGATATGATGATGCTGATAGATATCCATTAGCCCCCTTTACTTCTGATATGCATCTTACTGTACTATCGTAGCTTGATTTTGTTGTCTTGTAAGTGTGATGTCTAGCCTATTTTTTTCATAAATTATTTGTATAAGTAGTGGGTTATTGTTCCCGATCATGTTTTTCTCTATATATTTCAATTATTTTTTGTAGCTTATTTTTTCATAAAATAACCATTTACGTATGTGATGCACAGTCTAATTTTACAACTATGATAATTGGAAAGCTAGAAATATAACTTGTTTCAGCTCTGAAGTTCATTTTCCTTTGACATGTTTTTTTAAATGCTCAATGATAGGAATTGTATGGGAAGGTCCTTACAATCAAATCAGAATTGTATGGGAAGCTGGTTATCACCGGCGCATCCAGATCCAGTGCCTGAAGTAAGTTTAAAGATACTTTAATTTATAGTCGTCTCTCTTATTCTGTTCAGGTCATTACAACTCCTGTCCTTGGCTGACTAGAGCTCTTACAATCAAATAATTTTGTTATTGGTGGAACAACTAAAAGGAAATAAGAACTGATATACTAAAGTGGCGAATTATACAAGTTAGAGATATTAACTACACAGGTTAGCATCACTAGAAGTGCATATGACTAATGGAAATCAAGAGTGTGCTCCTCAATTTGTTAGTGAGGATTGGTTTTTGAATATTTACTCTTCCTTTGGATATGTAAAAGTTTGTTCTAGCTACAATTCTCAGAGTGAGCCCGTCCATCTGCTCCAGCCTAGGTGGATTGGTTTAACTGGAACAGGTGCTTGTTGGTTGTAGTGGGCCGCCTAACGGATTATTTGAGGTGCATGTAAGCTGGTCCGACTACTATCATCACTAAAATCACACAAAAGGAAGGGGTTGTACAGTGTTATGCAAATCGTACTACCCAAAATAAGTCCGTACAGCAGAAACAACTGAGACTCAAAGACAAATCATACTATCATAAAAGTTAATTTCTGATAGTATCACTAGAAGTGCATAAAAGTTAATTTCTTCTTTGATATTTATCAAACTTCCCCATATCTTAGTATTCTGCAGTTAAAAAAGAATCATTTCAACTTTCTCCTTTGTTGGTCTCAATGCCAGTTGCCACTTGGTTTCTTCTTCAGACTATCATAATTTGTGCAACATGGGAGCCTTCTCAATGCCTGGCCTTGTGTTGTTTTCTTCTCTCTTTAGTTTTAAATCGTTCTCCTTGTCAATAATTCTCAGACCTGCTTCTTTCAATATTCTTTGTTTGTAGTTTGTGCTTTCAGTCTATCTTGCTCAGACTCTTCGAAAATGTGGCCGTATACGTGTCGGATCCTCCAAAAGTAGTGCATTTTTGAAAGATCTGACGCGGGTGTGGCTACATTTTGGAGAGTCCGCGCAACATAACTTTCAGTATATGAAGAAACCACCAATCCAACCAATGATCACCTAAAGCCTCTTAACTCCTCCCTGTTAGCTGATTGACGTGCATTTGAACTACTCAATTAATTAAGAGCTAGTACGGCTCAGCATGAGTTTGCTCCAAATGTAGCACACGTTGTTACCTTTTTTTTTTTTGGGTACATTTCTCTGTCGTCCTATTGCTCAGAAAACCTGCTTTTTCCTGCCGTTCTACTGCTCAAGGGAACACTTCCAAATAATGATCAATTATCATCTTGTTTATCCATAGGCCACTCTAGGAATTTTAATATTTAATGACTTAAAAGAATAAAAAGAAAGCTCCATGCGCCACCTGAGTTTGAGGATATGACTCTGCTCTGGGATTTCAGCATTTTTACATTCAAAAGTTTTTCTTTTCACCACCTTCAAAAGTTGCCTCACTTGTTAAAATTCAGTTCGTTATTTAACTTTGCAGATACTTAGTACTGGCCAACATACTTATGGAATCGCAAGTTAATCCGTTTGATGGGCAGGAGGCAAAACCGTATGTATACCTCTATTCAGCATGTAGTTTATTATGCTTATTTTGTTACACTTTTCTGACTTTCCAAGATCGTATTCCAGGTACAAAAATGACCCAGAAATCTTGGCCATGACAAATTAAGAATCAGGCTTCCTTTCATATCAAAGGTATGAGTAATTCTCATGCATTTGCCAATATTTAAATTATACTTCTCCTCTCTATTCAAATAAGTATTTCGTGCACTCCTACTACTTTTGTAATCGACTTTTTTGTTGAGTGTTTCTTACTTATGTCTATGAGAAAAAATCTGCTGCACTGAAAGTTGTTATGTTCATCTGCACTCAGGAGCTTAATGTACCAGAAGATGATGTGGAAAAGTTTCATTGATATTGGTTAACAAGATTGTTGGTTGCTTACTTTTCACTGTTTCTTAAGCCGAGGGTCTATTGGAAACAGACTCTCTACCTTCACAAGATATGTATAAGGTCTGCGTACACACTACCCTCCCCAGACCCCACTCGAGGGGTTACACTGAGTTTGTTGTTGTTGTTGATATTGGATAACAGGATACAAGGTCATATTGACCAAGCAAACAAGTTGGAGCGTAGTGACAGGTACTTCCACTGTCTTTTTTACATTGAGCTTAAGTTCTATACACTGTATTGTAAATTTGTTTTACAGAATTAGATCACTTACAAAGCGATTACATATAAATCTCTATGATAACATTGCCGGTAGCTTGGTAAAAGATGGTAATTAACATGCTACCGCATGTTAAACTTCACTGATAGCGTATATAACTTAAACTCCCTATTCTTTTTTTCTTTCTTTCTCTAATATTTTGATTTTACAACTTTATTTTTTTGATCTACTTTGTTGGATATTTGCTGCTAAAGGTCAAATGGGACGAAGAAGTATACAGCTATAAATAAAGGGAACACACAATTTCACTCTCTTTATCAAACCATCAGCAATAAAGTGGGATAAAATCTGTGTTCAGCTGAAGAAGACTGATCTGTTGTGCTAGCAACACATGATTAGCAGCAACTTACAAAATGAACAGAAGGACAAGAAGAGTATACTAATATCTCCATTCTACATCTATTTTTTCAACTTTACAAATTTAGCTCTTTGTATTCCGTCCACTTTTTCAATTTGAAATCTCTAAAACTCTGAGAATATGAGTAATTTTATTTTTAAAGAATATGAGTACTTGCATAATTGCTTTGATGTGATCTCTTCCAAGTTGTGAGATGAGCTTATAGAAATTTTGATTTTGCCGAGGTGTTTTACGTCACAAGTTTTTAACTCGCCTATAGAAGCTTCGTTTTTATATGGTTTTTTCAAGTCTGAATAACAGAAAAGGATAAAGTAGGTTGATGTTAGTATAGTAGTAGTCTAATTTGATGAATCTTTTTAATTATGAGTACACTTGAATTGAAAAACAGAAGCCAAATATGAACATATTTAGAAAAAGTGATTGAATAAGTAGTGTTGTTTACAAGTAATTGACAATTTGAAACATTGAATTTCTTTGCAGATAAATGGTAATGCATTCCAATTGCCAGTTAAACCAGTAACCATAATATTTATTATTACTAATCAACCTACTTTTGGCTAAAAAGAAAAGCAAATGATGCCAAAGTTCATTGTCAAATCCCACTAAGAGAGAAAATGAAAGAAAGTTCTTGTCAAATTGTCTCTTTACCAACTAACAGAATCCCAACACTTATTTGCTAAAGATTAGATGCTTCAAATTAGTCTTCTAAGTTATTCCCCTTTCTTTTAAAAAAATATAGAGTTACTGCCTTCAATAAAATATTAATTACGAAAGATATTTAATGTCCAGAAGATAGAGAGTAGCACAAATGAGGATGTTAATGTGTGCGCATACCAGAAAAGACAAGATCAGAAATGAGGTTATTAGAGATAAGGTGGGTGTGGCTCCTCTGGAAGATAAGATGCGGAAATCGAGGCTGAGATGGTTCGGACATTTGAAGAGGAGAAACACTGATGCTCCGCTTAGGAGGTGTGAGAGGTTGACCGTGGCGGGTCAGAGGAGGGGTAGAGGGAGGCATAAAAAGTACTGAGAAGAGGTGAATAACCATGACATGACACTACTTCAACTTACCGAGGACATAACCCTCGACATAAAGATGTGGAGGTCGAGAATTAAGGTTGTGGGTTGACAGGTAATCGAGAGTTTCTCCATATCTTACCAGTAGTATTAGCACTAGTCTTGTATTTCCTATTCTTAGTTTCTTGTTATTACAAGGAACTACTACCAATAGTATTGGCACTATTCTTGTATGTATTTCTAGATCCGGTTATTATATGTTTTGCTATTTGCTTCCGCTGCCTACTACCTTGTTGTTACTATTAATTGGTTATTATTTTCTTTTCACTGTTCTTAAGCCGATGATCTATCGGAAACAATCTATTCTCCTTCATAAGATAAGGTTTGCGTATACATTACTTTTCCCATACCCTACTCGTAGGGTTTTAATGGGTTCGTTGTTGAAAGACCTTCAAACGGTAAAGATAACTGGGCACAATACAAAATGGCTACTAAATTTCACTATCTAAAAAAAAAAAAAAATATATACAACACACGTCTAAACGTGCACTGATTATAATTAATGACACGAGAATTCGATATGGTACAACAAGGAAAATTTGCATCAATGCCAATCTTTATCTTTTTTTTTTAATCAATGTCAAATCTTTTAAATACCGCTCACTTCAAATTTTGATAAGACTCGAAATAAAAATATTTTTAGTATTTAAGTTTAAAATAAATTGTTATTCTAAAAATTCAGATTGAATAATCAAAATAAAAAATAAAATAGACGATTCGTTTTTAGTATTATGAACCACCTATTCATTTTGAGTTGATGAAATAAATACAAATAAAAGGTTGTTAATAAAGAAAAAATGCAAGATAATAAAACGCTGGCAGGGCGCCAACGGCTAGTTTTTGAAGAGGACCGTCCAACGGTCAATAACACAAGCCTAAAGTGTCGGCAAATTTGAATTCGAGACAGTGTTTGCCTGTTTGGTATGGCCCAAAACCCGACAAAATTCGGACCTTTGAATTATAACTATTAAATAAGTACCTACTTGGCTGCTTTTCTCTTTAAAATGAAATAATATTAATAAAATAAGAAGATAAGACCAAGTGCCCTTGATAATCAATAAATAACTAAACAAATAAGGATGATATAAATAGTACTATAATTTTAATACTTATTTCAATTAAATATATAATTTATTGTGGAATTAATCCAGCTAGCTTTTGTATGATTCAACTACCAATGATTAAATTAATATCTCATTTCTATCCTTGTTATTAGTTCTCTTTCTTAATAGTAATAAGATATTTCATGTCATTATAATTACTTAAAATTTATCCTTTTTGGATATTTTCGTGAAGAATACGAATTTAAATTTTATGCACTAATTTATACATTTAGTTTTTATGTTTAATGTAGACTTATCCTTTCAGCATCAATAGTGATGTTGAGGAGTGCTCCATTTACCAAAGCCATTTTAGTGTTACATTTAAGTATTATAGGTCTTGTACTTAGTACTCCGGATGTTTATTTTTATATACACATATATATTATATATTATAAAATTTAAGTTAGATGTGTACAACGTGACATGGATACTATTGACAAATAAAAGAATATATTTAAAATATTAAAGTCATTGAGAAATTTCATTAAAAGTTAAAATTTTAGAAAATACAAGCTACCCAATTATTTGTTCATGAATGGACCTACAATGGGAACATATAGGCATTTTTGTCAATGGAGTGACATAATGACCATGCCAACTATTATAGATATCCTTATTGAATTGACAAATAATTGCTCTAAGGCATAGCTATTTATTGGAAAATTTTAAATTTAAAAAATTCATTACAATTTAGGTCGGATTTTAGGATAGTTCATAACTCATAAAAGGGTTATTACAAAGATGTAGAGATTCTCTGAGTAATTACAAAATGCTAGCTCATGTGGTTCCTCTATAGTCTACACAAAAAGGAGGGAGTAATTTTTTATAATTTCCCCCAATGATTAAAGAGTTAAATATAATTTATTCTAAATCTCAAGAAAAATAAAGAGACACAATGAAAAACCATGCTAGTAAAAAAAAGTATAAAATCGACTATAATCACTTTCCAATTAGATTTATAACTTGAAAGTAAGTATAAACTGATTATCATTTGAACCTCACACAATTTTATAAAATATAACTTAACTAGAAATGTTTATACAAAATAGTTGAGGTTCCTCATAAACTAAGATTAAATTCGAAATGCCAGGCAAACACAAACAAATGTTGTTACTACATTATTTGAGAATTTATATATTTTTCCAATATAACACATTTTCATAAGCATAATCCGATGTTATATGGTACTTTTAAAGTTAAATTTCACTATTTCTAAATTTTTATTATTAATTTTGTCATAATAGCTCGAATTTGAGAACTTAGATTAGTAATATAGTCTAATGGTTACAATTTTATTACAAGTAGTATTATATTGGGTTTGTTGTTGTTGTTGATGGCGGTTACGATTTCACTTTACAAATGTAATAAACGAATGATGAAAACAAAGTGGTAAAAAATTTAAATTTCATCAAAAAACATTATCATCCTTTATTTCATTCCTTTTTTACTAAAAAGTATTTTTTTCATTTTCCTCATTTTATGGTCCATATGTTTCAATTTACTCTGTCCCAATAAGTTAATACTTATCTTTTTATATTTAAAAATAACTTGATTTTAAATTTACTATTTTATATAATTTATAACTAATGAGATTTACGACTTATTTAAGATTATAAATTTAATATATTTTTTGTTTTTTTATAAAGTTACGTATCGAATCTAATAATATTACATAAACCGATTTTATATACCTATTCTATGTAACTTCGTCTTACAACGAACCCTCTCCTCTCTGGACTTTGTTGGCATGTAACGTACATATATCAATCAAGATTGGCTCTTTAATCCATTCATCAATGATTTATTAAAAGCCATCCCTTTCTGGATTTTGTGGGTGTTATTCCAACTAGGGAAAGAGAAATCAAATAGACCCTAAATCCCACACCCATATTTCTCTCTCTCTCTCTCTCTCTCTCTCTCTCTCTCTCTCTCTCCTCAATCGAAAGGTAATTTTTCCCATCTGGGATTTCTCTTTCTTTCTCTCTTCTAGCACTATCTTGATGACTGCTGTTGTGTAAAAATTCAGTCTTGATTATCGGTACCTGATTCTTGACTTGGGACTGATTAAAGATTTGATATTTAGAATTGGGTTTGCCATTTCTCGGAGTTTTCTTCAGATCGGTGCTTTATCTGATTTTAATTGTAAAGGGGGAGCTTTTTTGTATGTAAAGTTCTTTTCTTTCATGGTTGGACTTGTGTTTCTGGTTTAATTGTCAAGATAGGATCTTTTTACTTGACTAATTAGGTTTTCGCTTGGTGTGAAGATTCCAATATATTTGTAGTTGTGTCTTTTACAGTTTTACTGACTCCTTATGTGCTTATCTTGGTGCATTGGGATATGTGTTAATAGCAAAATTGGGTTTTAATTTGACTTAAAGTTGCTATAGAAAAGTATCTATTATCTCTTGACTTTGGTTGTGATAAGCAATTTTTCATTTTTCCCCTTGATGAAATCCCAAAGTGCAGGATTCTTTGAATCTTTGATCTCCTTAGTTTGTGAGAAGGTTTGGAATATGTAAAATCTATTCTCCCCTCTTCACTTTACTAGGGTTTTAGTTTGTTTTATATAATTTGAAGTTGAATTTGAGAAAGTATGTGGATTAGTTTTTACTGTATCTGTTATTCTACTGCGATTTGATCTTGTGCTTATAGAGTTATTATCTCAACCTAAGGTTTCCATCTGAAAATTGTTGCTTTGGTTATTGGTTCTATGGTGTTCAACTTTTGGCTTGGAAACATATCATTCTCTGAGCAATGTCGTTACATTTAACATTAGCTGAAACTAGTCAATCTACCATATCTGATGATGTTGCTGTCCTGATTGTGAAGGGAATTTCCCTTTTGTAGTGGAACATTATAAAAAATAAAGAATTGCTTTCTATTGAGCTTATTAACGAGAAAGTTATGCCTTAGGCTCATAGGAAATTTCTGTGCTACTGGGTAGATAGTTGTAAGTTCAAAAAGGTAGAGCTGAATTTCTGATTGGAATAGTCAAGTGTAGTATTTCAGCTCGAGTATCAGTAGAAATTTATTTCACATTTTGTATAATTGTATAGACTAATACGGAGAAGAGAAGTCTATGAACTTTTGTGGTTCTTAGACACATGTTATCCGTGTCTGGTGGATTCGCACAATTTTCTTGAAGATGGCCTGATCATTTTGAGCAGCTATTTAGTTGCTTGTGTCTTATGATTGTTTGAACGAATGTTGAAGGATTGTATTATGATGATCTTTTTCTGTCCCTTTTGCAGGATCCAATAATAAGTTGATTGTCTTCAACATCTAAACTACCAGCAAAAACTACTTGCGTGCAGTTGCCAACTGATCCTAGTATTGTACTTATATTTGGCTATGGTATTTCATCAAATACAATATGTTGTTATTACTAGGTTTCTTGATGTCATTTTCTCCCTATATGCAAGTGAATTTGTTCTTACCTTTTCCTTTTTTTTTCTTGTGCTCGCGTAATTTACTACATTGTGCCATCCAACCTGTAGCACCTTATGCCATCTGCAATTGATATTGTCCTTAATTTGGTGTTTTTGGCGTAGGCAACTAATGAAAATCTCCCACCAAACGTGATAAAACAATTGGCAAAGGAATTGAAAAATCTTGACGAAACTCCTCCCGAAGGCATCAAAGTAGGTGTAAACGATGATGATTTTTCAACCATATATGCTGATATCGAGGGCCCAGGTACGGTGTCTTTGTTGTCTATATTTCACTTTTTGAGACACAACACTTGTTCTAATTGCTCTATCTCTACCATGCAGCTGGGACTCCCTATGAGAACGGGGTTTTCCGCATGAAATTGATTTTGACACACGATTTCCCTCATTCCCCACCCAAAGGTTTGTCTCCACATGCAAGGTTTTTAAGTTTTTCCTGTGACACGCTTTTGTAGCCTTTTACTTGGATCTAGTTTAGCTTTGCATTAGCTTTTGTTTCAATCAGTTGGGCGCTGTATTAATCACAATTCAAGCGCCTAAGTCGTACTTTACCCTTTATTCCTCTGTTTTAGGAACTCTCTTTCACTTCCTAGTCATATACTAAATAGGTCAACCGACTTTATTTTTCCAAGCTCTTTTCGTTTCCTTTTCTTTTTTCGTGATAAGTTACAATTGCTAGTTCTTTAGGGAAGATCTTTGTCACTTCTCATGACGTATTGCCGGAGCAGTTACCCTTTGCCAATGCTTAGGCCCAATATGGATGAGTACATAACTTACATTTTTTGTTTTTCTCTCTAGGTTATTTTCTAACCAGGATTTTTCATCCCAACATTGCTTCCAATGGTGAAATTTGTGTCAATGCTCTGAAAAAAGATTGGAATCCTAGTTTGGGCCTACGACATGTTCTCATGGTAAGTTTCTGCTTTTTCTAAGTCAAATATCGAGCCTGCCTAGAGGACTTTAATAATATAAGTGTGAAGTGACCTTTTTCTTTCTTTGATTTGTTATTTGCTGTGGTCACTGCTTTGTAACAGGTGGTAAGGTGTTTACTGATCGAGCCATTTCCAGAATCTGCGTTAAATGAGCAAGCTGGTAAAATGCTGCTTGATAATTATGACGAGTATGCTAGACATGCAAGGTAAGTTAGTGTCTCCTAGTTTCACTCACTTCATTATGTCACCGTCANATTAGTGTGTCCTAGTCTCACTCACTTCATTATGTCACCTTCACTTGTATGATGTTATTGCATTCTTATTTGGTATTACTCTGTCCTGCTTAATTATCCTCTATCTAAATGCCATTTTATTTACGGAGAGAACATGGTTTTGTTGTTCTTAAGTTGTATCTTATTTTTGCGGATTCATGGAAATGATGCTACAGTTCATTTTGAAGAAATGGTCGAACTGGAGATTCAAATAGGAACTGATCATACATCTATCCGGTATTAATCAATTTATGATGACCAAAAAGAAAATCCAAGCGAATCAACTCATGCCCATTTCTCTTTGTAGATGTAAAACGTGACAAGGAGGATGAAGTGCCGTAAAAAAGGTTCTATCAAGTGTTGTAGGCGTAAACCTGTAATTCCTGCTTGTAAATCCAACGGCTAAGTTGGATAGGGAGTTTAAACCACTGCTGCTCACTAGCATGGCTTATGTGTTCGTGGGGAATAATGTTTCGATATAACTTATGACTAGCTCACGTTGCTCCCTTTTGTAGTTTAAACCACTGTTTCAATCACTGAATGTAGTTGCTCTCCGTCCAATGTTCCTCTGTGTTTAAACATGCAGGCTTTATACCAGTATTCATGCTAAACCAAAGCCTAAGTTAAAAACAGGAGTTATTTCCGAGTCGACTACAGCCCTAAATGTTGGCCAGACAAATACTTCACTGTGTAACGTTGATCAGAAGACTGCAATATCTGGAGTTACGCCTCTCCAACAGCCTTCTCCATTAGCCCCTACAGTTAACATTGTAAAAGGTGGAAACAGTCTAGACCAGCCACTAGCTCCCGGTTCAACTGCGGACACAGCGGTTAGTGGATCAGCAGCACCACCATTGGTAACCCTGAAGAAGGAAGCTGGATTGCATAAACTCCCTGCAGATAAAAAGAAGATTGATGCAAGAAAGAAAAGCTTGAAGAGATTATAAACTTGTTTTAAGGGGGGACTAAATCTTCTTTTCTCTTGGTTGCTTTTATTTGATAGATGAAAACAGTTCTGCAGAACTGAGCTTGTATTATGTCCTGATAAATGAAATGGACTATTTGAGTTGTTCCTTTCAAGTTTTATGGTTCATTATCAGTCTTTTTACAGACCCCTTGAAAAAAAAATTCTTCATAATTTTAAGTCTGTAGTTTGCAATGGTTGCAACTCAATCAGGCAATTGTAAGTTATAATAACTTGTGGTCGAAGTTGCATCCGACTAAAAAGGGCGATTTGGAATATGAAATTATGTTGTTTATCCATTATCTTTTTTGTAACCAGAAGTGAGCAATATATACATATTTCCTTTTTGTTTCAAGGAAAAGATTATGGTAGTTTCACATAGTGTGAGTTGCCCTAATTTTTTGTTGCTTTATTTCATAGGACTGCTACGTAGTAAATTACATAAGAATGAACTTTTTAAGCTTTTGATTGACAGCCCTCAAACAATAACACAAAAAACTTCAGATTGTTAAAAAGGTCTCAAACACCAGATGCCAAAGTTTCATTCTTTACACAAAACCAACTCTTGCAAGAATTGAATAAAGCACAAATCAGCTGCCAAACAACATAACACTTCGGCTGCCATATGCCAAAGTTTCATTCTTTACACAAAATCAACTTTTTCAAAATACACAAGTTAAGTTTGCAACTTTCAGAAGTAACATAGCTGCCAAAAGCCAACAACAATCAAAACTACTCTTCAAATCAGTCTCGAATGTTGATGAATATGAAGAAATAGTTGATGAAATGTGATTCTCGTCTTCAAATGATGAAGAAACCACCGATAATCGATGGGTTCATGTGCGATTATGAATTTGGGAAGGAGCTTAGGGTACTATTAGTCGGGTAGGGATTTGTGACACAGAGAAAATAAGAAGCGGCCTTAATTCGGGTTCGGGTATTCTAGTATTGACCTGTTTGACATGGATGAAAAAAACAGGTGGCACATTTAATTGGATATTTATTACACACGTGCTATATTGTTTGCACTGGTTTCAGCTTTTGTGTTAAAGTGAAACATAAGAAATAGAGTTGGAGGGCCAAAATAGAACAGGGTTAAAATAGAGTGCTAAAATGAAAAATGGTGCCAAGTTGGGTTGTTTATGTATTTTGGCCTTATATTATATCTTAATCCTTAAATAGTGCATAAACCTATACTTTTCTCCTTTTTTTCAGCTGAATAACTTGTCGNAAGTGCTTAGCTTATCACCTTCTTTCTATCATTAAATCAAGTTTTAATACTTGGGAACTAGTAGAAAAATAGAAACTTTAATGAAGAATTAACTCAAACAGCCACCCATCTAATCTCTTAAATTAAAAATAGTCAGCGGATGCATAATATATGTATAATTGTGCATAATCAATGTATAATCTATCTATACTGGCGAAAAAAAGCACATTGGATCTGACCGGTTATTTGGGTAACAATCCCGTACGCTAGTTAAATACTATCAATTTAAAGTAACAAATTTTGGAAACATCAACTGCAAGTTGAACCAAAGTTTTGATATTAGCTTCAATTTTAACCAATAGATTCTTTAATCACAAGTGTTACCAACAAAAACCAGAAACCTCAAAGAAGATTTAGCATTTAATTCGCGGAAACAACAGCACAGGAATGCTGATAATGAAACTGCATTCATCAATTAAGAGTAGTACACAAAAGAATATAGAGAAGAAGAAGAGGAAAGATGCTCCACCACTCTTACAATAAAGCATTACATTCATTCCCAGGTCCAATACATCCAGATGGTACAACGAAACACATTACACTAGGCAAATCCTATCCAATGAAATATTTTTGGATTTTTCACATTTTTAACAAGTCTAAACTTCAACTTAAATAAGAGATGGTGAAATTACTTGGCCATCATGACCTTAACAAACTCCTCATAGTTAATTTGACCATCACCATCGACATCTGCTTCCCTAATCATCTCATCAACTTCTTCATCAGTAAGCTTCTCCCCAAGGTTAGTCATCACATGACGAAGCTCAGCTGCAGAGATGAAGCCATTTTGATCCTTGTCGAACACTCTGAATGCCTCTTTCAGCTCCTCCTCGGAGTCAGTATCCTTCATTTTCCTGGCCATGAGGTTTAGAAACTCAGGGAAGTCAATGGTTCCGTTACCATCTGCATCCACCTCGTTTATCATGTCTTGGAGCTCTGCTTCAGTGGGGTTCTGTCCCAGCGACCTCATCACAGTCCCAAGCTCCTTAGTCGTGATGCAACCTATACAAAACTTCACAATTAGCTTACTATACGAGAAGTACTTAACAAACCACACTTTCTAACTATAACATCGGGTCAGTGAGCTACTTCCCAATTCAAACAAACATAAGAAAACAGTAAATGCACCACCTTCCAACTTATGTCCAGAAAATAACAAAGCTAACGATCAATTCTGGGTAACTTATAAGCCCGTACTTATAATAAAAATAACAAAAATCTTTGTTGACCCAAAAAATCCAACTATACGAATCAGACGTCCTTTTTTAATCATAACTGTACATAAGTTCAGAAGATAAGGTTTTCATCTCATTAATCAGAATCTAAAACTAGACACCAGAATCAGCAGTGCAGCACACAAACGGATAACTATACAAAGAAACTCCCTCAGTCAATGTTACTTGTATTTTATATTTAAGGATCACAATAAAATGAACTAGCACAACTAGTTCCAAAGTGGTAAATTACAAACAAAGCTGCTCAGGATTCACATAACAGCTAAACAAATCCCCCATGAGAGAACTAACATCATCCCTGACATGCCACTCTTCCTCCAACAGATCTGTTGCCAGAGTTTAAAATCAATCTAATTTGGCACAAACAGAACATAATAGTATCTGCTCTTCTTTCAGATCATCGCCTAAAAAGAAGAAAATGATTTCCTTCACTATTGGCGAAAAACATGTTCCTTTACAAATATATCATCTCTTTACATTACTTGCCCAACCAATACAAAGACATTATTATCAATCGTTAACACAAAATCTGCATCAAATTTTTATTGCAAAACACTATCCATAATTGATGACACTATTATCAACCTTTAACAAATATTTTCCAAGGAAAACATTTACCGCAAACCATTTTCTTAAAGACAATTGTTCATCCAAACTGATTATCAAACAAAACCCGCCATATATTTAGAAAAGGAGTTTTGGCATCATTTAAAACAAGCTAAAACCACAAGATAAAGGCCAACTCTATCATCAAAATTAGATTATCATTTCTCCTTCTATCTATAATCCAATTAGATTTACTCAACTTCTCCAAAATAGCTCTTAATTAATAACAAAAACACAATAATCCACCAAAGTAACATCAAACTACAAGATTTCCATATTCACTAGTTTTTTAGCATTTCCTCAAGCTAGGAGAGCAATAATTCCCTGTTATTAGAGTTAATATTCTCATATATCAATCTGTCACCTTAAAAACCAAACACCAAAAGGGACTAACACCTCAGAATCAATCAATTAATTAAAACCAAACGTCAGATCTGAAAATAAATTTGATTATACACATGCCTATATAAACATCAAACACAAAATATATACTCCCTTACTACTAATTTATGTATCACACTTTACTTTTTAAGTTTTTCGTGCAAAGATTGGTACATTTACATGATGTAGAAACAATTTTATCTTTAAACTTTTCATTTCACCTTTGATGAAACATTTATAGCGACAAAATGAGATATTTATAGCCACAAAAATGTAAATTTCTTATTTTAGATCACAAGTTTTTTTTAAAAAATCTTTCTTAAATTGGACATAGGCAGAGAGAAAGAAAATCGAACCATCTCCGTCCTTGTCAAATAGGCTGAAGGCCTCCTTGAACTCAGAGATCTGGTCATCGGTTAGCTGATCCGCCATTTCTTCTTCAATTCAATTCAACTACAGAAAAAACTTAAGAGAGAAGATTGTTCTGGAATTTCAGACACAAGAATCGTCTTTTCAATTCTCTTCGATTTCGGAACTATGGGATGATTGCTATTTTTATACCAATGACTACACTTTTTGTGCTAAATATAATAAGTAAAAAAAAATAGAAAGGTAGAATTGGATTAAAGAAGAATAAATAACAGCAATAGTAAAGACTTGTCTCTCTCCCTACATTATATGCGGACGTGATTGGTTTATTTGTTTCAATGTATCCGTTTTTCCTGCTTTGCCCTTATCGTTTGCTTTACCATTTGCAGTTTTGCACCCTACAAGTTTTTGTCATAATGTAATAAATATAGTTTAGAAAATAATCTTATAAAAGGCAAAAATTAATTATATTTATCCATCTTAATAAACTTATTTCACTTACTAAAGCTCAATTTTGTGTGATTTCAGGCACGTAGATAAACTTATCTATTGGAAGTGGATGTTCTAAGTCTTTGAGGACTATACAAAAATAAATAAAGTTGCAACCTTTCTCACTTATATGGCAAGAAGACAACTTTAAAATATAAATATTTAAACTTTTGATAAGTAAATTAAGACAAATATTTTGGAATAATGTTCACCGAAAAAATCGGATAACGTTAGATTTTGTGTGTGGTTCTAAGGATATGCGATATAATTCGATATAAATCGTGTACAGAAATAGAGATACGTATATTTTTGACTATGAGAATGCAAATAGTGGGCAATAAGAATAAATGAGATAAATTAAAGCAAACACAAAGAGATATCTTTCAATCTGAGAAGTGATTTGTTTCTTTTGTCTCTGCCTTTAGCTTACAAGGATTCCCCCTTTTATAGAAGAGGGTTATTACAAAAAATAATAAAATAAAACATATAGTGGGAGGCCCATGATGACATGTCTCTTCCTTGATTCCCGCCAAGATTCTCTCTCTTGGTGCGGTCGCAACGGCTCTTGTTTGTGAGCTTGATACTGGCTCGAGCTCGTTACTGGGTTTTGGGCCTTTCGGTCTTGGCTCGAGTCCGACCTTCGAGATGGGCGTCGCGCATTTCCGACCTCGAAGCAGTGCCTTGCGGATCGATTCGGCCACTGGCTCGATAGGGTTATCGAGTCGACTCCTCGATCGACCTTCGGGCTCGAGGCTCGTTAGTACCGACTTCGGAGCTCACTCCAAAAAATTTAATTCCAACTTTTTAACACTCGAACTCAATCGAATGTAGGAAGGCCGAAATCTATTTTGGACCGTATACGGATAGTCCCCTCGTTTCTCATGAAGGATGCGGTCAGAATCGACGTGATTTTTGGTGGTTCGATCGGGTCATTAGACGACGTTTTCACAGGGATCGATTATGACGTATGCGATAGCTGTCCTATCGATTCAACCTTTCAAGGTATTTAATGCTTGTCAGATGGCGGTCGGCCACCTGTGATATTGAACTGTCACGATGCGAGCCTATAAATAGCTCTTTTATCTATCATTTGCTTCTTTCACGCGTTCACTCCCCCAAATTTTCTCATCTTTTCTTCCTTTCTTGTTGCTACCAGAGTTTTGGTGCCGTCAATTTTTTACTTTCCCTTGTCTTTCTTCCTCCCATATCAATGGCCAAGACTTCAAAAACTATGCCTCAGAAGGAGAAAGCTTCTTCTTCACGGCCGTCCGGCGACAAGGCGCCGGTGGAGCCGTCCACCTATGACTATATCCCCGGCCCGTGTACTCTAAAGATCAATTTTAAGGTTGAGAATCCTTCATCTATCCCAGGTCGATGCGAGCATGTATCGATGTATATGTGCTCTATAACGGAGGGTCATCTCGAGGCCGTTAGAAAAGACTGTAACTGGGGTTCCGAGATTGTGTTGCAAATTCCATCCCCCCGAAGAGAGTGTCGTCACCCATGTGGAGGGATTTTTAAGTATTTATACTTATCCCTTCACATTGGGTCCGGTCGACCCGGTGATCATCAATTTTTGCAAGAGATATCAGGTCACCCTTGGTCAGATTCATCCCTCTGTGTGGCGTATAGTAATCCTACTTCGCTTCTTCTCCACCAAAGCCGGGGGGCTGGATTTTACCCTGAATCACCTCATACGGTTGTATCGGCCTCAAATCTTTCGAGGATTAATCAGACTTCATCATCGGGCATCGAAGGCTTTGATGTCTAGCAACGACGAAGACAAGGATCGGGGTTGGATGGGGCGTTACATCCGGGTGAGGACCCGTGACCTTATTCCGAAAAGAGAAGATGTCGTTCCCCGAGGAATGGAATTTCGATCGTAAGTTGTTTTCATAATTTTTTTTATTTTTTTGATGTTTCTTCCCGATATACAGCTGCCCCTTGGATGCCACAAACGGTGCCCGACCTCGAGGATTGGGTTCGGAAGTTAGCCTCAACTTCCTCTTATGCCGAACGCGCTTGGCGTGATTTGGCTAAAGGCATATGGGAAGCCAAGAACCATGGTAAGGTTTTACTTCTTGTTTCCTTCGAAGCGTTCTTTGTGCTCCATTCGTTACCGATTTCCTTTCATGCAGGCGTAACCAAGGATGCCATTTTGAGGCCTTCGAGCGGTGAATAAGTAACCAAGTCCCCAGTCCCGAAATCGGGGAAAGACAAGAAGCGCAAAGCTGCCTCTCGATCAGAGGGCCCCAAGCCCGAAACTCGAAGGGTGAGGAGTAAAGCAATTGCCCTTTCGATTGACTCGGTCCAACGACTGAGAGAAGAAGACGAAGACGAAGAAAAAGAATAGGAAGAAGGAGGTGCCTCGGCCTTGGTGTCCTGATCTGCCAGAGCTATCGAGGTCACCGAAGCTCCTGAACCGATGGCAGCTGTACCAGTCGGGGTTGATTCCGGGATCCCGAGTCTTGATCGGAACACCCCGAGTGATTCACTTGGGACTATGACAGTAGGTTATTCGCCTTCTCTTCCCACCTTTTCTGAGGAGGCATTAAAGAAAGCTCGAGAATTGAAGACCCCCGATATGGCCGGAGGCTCTAGTGCAGGGGATCCCTTTCGGGATTGCTTTATCGGAGTCGGTGATGCTTCCGATATCGGGGGCGCTTCTCTTCTACTGGAAGAGGCCCAATGTTTCATTACTCGGGTAATGATTTTACTATACTTGGTTTCTTTGTTCTTTTTCCGAATTTGACTCGTGTTCTTTCCCTACTGTGCAGGCCATTAGTAGATTCCGGGTCGACCTTGGCCAGTGTGAGGTCGAGCTTCAGAAGGTCTCGGGGGAGAGAGACGCCTTGCGGCTTCTTTCCAGCCAAAAGGACGAGGCTATAAAGGACCTCCAAGCGAACTTGGCTAAGGCTCACGAAGAAGAGGCCGAACTTGACAAGCAAGTGAGCCTCGTTCTGTTAAAGTATGGGTTTGACTCGACTGTGGAAGTTAACCCTTCGTTGTCT